TTTCATCTAATATAAGACTATTTTGACCAAAATTAAAATATTAGAGTTGAAATGCTCAAAATAAAAATAAAAACAATGAATTATTTGTAAAAATTATTAGAACTAATTTTATCATTTTAACAATTTTCTAAAACCAAATTATTTTTTCCAACATTATAAAACGTGTTCAACACAAATCTTAAAAAGGAAAAGATCCATGCAGACAAAACACTAAATTTGTGCACCATATTTGGAAACCCAAAGCAACCCATGTTACGGTAACACCACAGAGTTTGAGTTTGCAGACAAAAACCAGAGTTTGCACCCAACCAAAATCTTAGATTGAAATTTGTCTCATCATTTAGTTCTTAACAACAATCCAAATCTTCAATAATGCATAAGAAACTAAAGATTAAGCCAAGAGCCAACCACTCCTCCCACTATTTCACGTTGAGTCCAAGCCTGTGAAAGTGAAACGAATTCTCAACTTTTGGTCTATTTATATAACTCCACATCAAATGAAACCCTATTTTGTTTTTTGAGTAAAACATATGAGCTAGGCACGGGAGTGTTCAAGGCCGGGGTTTCAAATCGTGATTGCGATCACGTTTTCGGTCATTTTTGGGTTTTACCGTGATTGTGGTCGTTGCGGGCGCTATTTCGGCCGTAACGGACGCTATTGGGCACTATTACAGGTGTAACAGGTAACTCGAACGGCGACGAAACCGTTATATCGCAGAAGAAATCACGTTTTCGGAATGTTTTTTAAATCCTATTCAAGGCCTGTCACTGTTCCCTTGTGGTCCCCACCACAACCTTTTAATTAAGTACACTCTCCGTCGTCTTTAAAATCTCCTTAATTCTTTAGGTTTGCATTGAAGAGAACTACTTTTACGATATAATATAAGCTTCGACATTTGTTCAATGGCAATGCTTTTGCAATAGCTGTTTCTGTTTCATGCTTTAAGATAGGAAACATGAAAGATTCTCCTGTTTTTGGTGGCTTTTGGGCTTTCTTCTTTCTTCTTAGTTGTTGTTTCTTGGCTGCTTCATATGGTTATCTCTCTCTTTTTTTCATTGTTCAAACCATTCTAATGGGGTTTTTAGAAAACTTAAGTTGGTTCTTTTTCTTTTTGTTGCTACAGATGGGCCATTATATGATTTTACTGCTTACTCTGAGGTAAACTATGGATATACTGAAATTGTTTGTTCAAAGAGACCATTGTGTATTGATTATTGTTGGTTTGCAGTGTAAGGCACAGCCGGAGGAGCCATTATACTAAGGAGGGATACTGAAAAATGAGCCTCCGATAATCTGACCGAGCATTATCGGAGAAACTGCCACTGGTTTTTACACCCCAGCTTTTGTCTTGAACAATCTCATTGCGGGCAACACTTACTGTTTCTCCAGTTAATTTCTCCACTTCAATTTCGAGTCTGTTTCTCCATTCCCTCTCGTTATACCACGGTCTCAACCTATGTTACCAAATGAATATCGAATACGAATATGTATTCGACAACAAAGGTGAACTGTTATGTATCTGTTAGTGACTTACTGGTTTGTCACACTGTAACGCCCGTGCCACTACAAGTGGCAATGTTTAAGGTTTGGATTTTTGGCACATGTAAGTGTCACCCTACATGTTTCTCAACATTACTCTAGATCTGACCCCAGCTTAGTATGTTTTGATGCATAACAGCTTGGATCAGAATACGAGGTTCAAATTCAGCTCTGATTAGGGCAAGCTTGAAAACAGAGAGACGATTGCATAGGGACTGTTTTGGCTAAGGATGGATGTTGGTCGTTTCTCAAAGGTGGATTCGTTCTTGGTTCGCCTTCGAGTTTGTCATTACTAGTATTCCAGGTGAACCTGCATTCAAAACAATATACGTAAGGCTTTCAAAAGTAGAAGATTAGCTCATGAATGTTTTCACTGATTTTGCTTGTAAGATTCATTTTTTCTTCTGTCTTGGATATGCAGAATTCAGATGGTAAAGACATCGATATAACGGTTGCTAGCGCTTCGTTGCAGCCATTTACTGATGAGGAATGGAGGATCAACCAGCAATATATAATTAATACTGTAATTACTCTTCAGACACTTTTCTAGTACTTAATCTACGATACTAAATATTCTTATGTTCCTCTTTCCGATGGATTTTTGCAGCAAAGGAAGCGTGCCGTAACAATATATGTCTCAGACCAACAAGGAAATAGGCTGCAAGGTGCAGCAATAACTATAGAGCAAGTCTCAAAGGATTTTCCATTTGGTTCTGAAATAGCAAGCACCATTCTTGGAAATTTGCCCTATCAGGTTCGTATTCATGTCTTAATACATGTTGGAAGGTGATACTTTTTCGTATAACATCGATAATTAATGAATACCCTTCTTCGACGATGCAGAACTGGTTTGTTGAACGATTCAATGCGGCAGTGTTCAAAAATGAACTAAAATGGGATGCAACAGAACCGGATCAAGGAAAGACCCAACTACACCACAGCAGACCATATGTTGGAGTTCGTTAGAGCTCCACTCCGGCATTGGTTCGGAACCTTACTGGACCCGAGCTAAAATCAGCAGTTAACTCTAGGATACAAAGCTTTAATGAGAAAATACAAGGAAGAATTCATACACTGGGATATCAGCAATGAGATGCTCCACTGGGACTTTTACGAGCAATGACTCGGACTCGAATGCAACATTGCATTTCTACGAGACCGCACATCAAGCAGACCCTCTAGCAACCCTATTCATGAACGAATTCAACGTCATCGAAACCTGCAGCGACTTTAAATTGACAGTCGACATATTCATCGAAAGGATAAGAGATCTCGAACGTGGCGGCATGTACATGGATGGAATCGGGTTGGAGAGTCATTTCACGGTACCGAACCCTCCTCTAATGCGAGCCGTGGTGGACAAGTTGGCTACACTCAGACTCCCCATATGGCTAACGGAGGTAGACATTAGCAGCAAAGTCGGTAAAGAGTTGCAGGGTGTTTTCCTAGAAGAGGTATTGAGAGAAGGGTTTTCGCATCAGTCGGTGAAAGGAATAATGCTTTGGACAGCTCTTCATCCTGAAGGGTGCTACCAAATGTGTTTGACTGATGAGAATTTGAAGAATTTACCAGCTGGTGACGTGGTTGATAATCTATTGAAAGAATGGGAAAGTGGGGAGATGAAGGGGGTGACAGATGAGTATGGTTCGTATAGTTTTTATGGATTCTTGGGTGAATATAAGGCGAATGTTGGATTTGGGAGCAGGACAGCAGATTCTACTTTCTCCCTCAGTCGTAGCGATGAAACTAAACACTTTACCATGCATTTGTAGCACCTCTGATTATGTTTTTTTTTTCGTATATATATTAAATAAATTCACACATATCTTATAAAATAAAGAGTGAATTCAATTTTCCCCGTTTATATTATATTATAGTTTATCTATTCATACGTTTTACCTACTTATTCGAACTCAAATTTAAAAAAAAGAATAATATAATTTTATCTTTAAGATCAGTTGATAAATTCACTAGTGAACAATTAAAAAAAATCTAAAACTAATAAAAATAATTTAATTAAAAAATAAATGTCTAAAATATACTTTATTTTCACTTTGAATATCTAACATTATTTTTCGTCTAAATATGTATCTACTGTTTCTTTTTGTTTCTATTTTTAGGCCGTTTAAAGAAATTTTTTATGAAATGTGTGGTTCACATGTTTACTCTCTTTCTTTCCTTTGAATTAATAGTGAAACAAGCAGAAAAAATATATATATTTAAAATTTAATTTATTTTTGAGAAATCAAACAATCTTAAACTTCAAATACTTTAATTTTAAGAATATATATATTTCTGGTGCACTATTTCTAACCTATGCTTCGTCATTCTCTCTCTTTTTTGCAAAAGCAAAAGCTATATGTCTAAAAAAAGTATCGAAAAATACTTCGATTACGGAAGTTTATTTATATGAAAATAAAACCAATATTTCAACTCTAAAAATTTACACAAAACACTTCATTTAGTTACACAAATTAGATAAAAATAAATAAATTGTATCAATCCGGGTCGTACACTTGACTGTGGTAGGCGAGTCTCTTAACGGAAATTTTTCACATCTCGAGATCGATTTAAGCGATATCAAACTGTTTATCACTAGAACCTATATTGTTAGTTACCATTGTTATTTAATCCTCTGTGTCTATGACTTGTGTTATTTTTTTGCCAATATTTTTTTATTAAACTTTTATATAAATGAACGAGTTGCCTCAATGATTAAAGAATTATTGTTATTTTTAAAATTTTACTTTTAAACATTATATTCATAGGAATATATGAATATTTAATGTCAAATGATAAAGAGTTTTTAAACAGAGATTACCTTATGTTCATCCTAATTAATCAGATAAAAACCTCTCATATGATCTATCATATAAGCGTTTGGGCAATGTTATTTGGCTGCAAAAACTTTCTTCAGCTTATAAAAATGTGCACATTCTTGACGTCTTCAATGCCGCCAAGATTCCCATTATTGAATGAATCAGAATGTGTATAATTGCCTACTGAACAACTATGGAATACATAGTAATAAATAATTTATCTGCTACGAATCGAATTTTGCGACTTCTGGCTCATCCCAATACAGTGTTTGCAATTTTTTTTCAATAGAAATTAATCCTACCACTCCACTTTATTCTTGCTTTAAGTCCCCATTTGATTATTTGCTCCAATTTCTCTTGATTACTCAACCAAAGTTTGAATATGGTTTACAACAGGCAAGCTACAAAACTTGAGACTTGGGGCATCCTTCACAAACAAAATCCCCCACATTTTCTCATTGCAAACAAGCTAGATTTCGCCTTCTCTTTACAGTCCAATTTGCCAAAAGAAACAAAAGCTGAGAAAGCAAAGCTAACAGAACACGTTACAGGGTAATTTTACACAAAAAATCAAGCGATCATCTCTGATGGGGGTGCTTCCACTTCAAGATATCCATGCCAGAATGTTAAATGAAACAACACTTTAAAACGTGCATTTAACATTGAAGTTGATGGTTTACAATCTGGACCAAGAATCTGTCCGCTTTTTCAAACAAAGGCCAACCCTCCTCCCCAATTTTACCCTACCCAAAGCTGAAAATCTGTAAAGAATCCACATATAACAAAACCCATAATACACAATGGAGAAAAGACTACAGGTAAACAAATGAAAACATGACTGACAATGCCATGACTGCAAATTGCAGAAAACTGGGAGCTGTTCTTGGTGAATCTCCCATTGCCAAACCAGCTAACCATGACCCATCTGTCATCACGGTTTGTCCTGATCCAGACCCAGAGCTTGAACCCGAACCAGGGTATCCATAACCTGAATTCGAATACCCTGAACCCGAGTATCCATAACCATTACCAGAGTAAGTTAACCCTGGTTCTGTTGCTGATCCTTGTGATGTTGAGCCTGTCATTGGGGTAGCATCCGTAGCTGGCGTAGCATCTCTCGAAGATTTCTGACTGCAACAAAATCCTACATCGTTAGAAATAACATATAACTAATTTCACCAGTAATTCAGTTCAAAAACTATAATCTTCTTGATCGTTACCTCGGAGAAGAGGGGCAAAAGGTGACCGTATAATCTGCTCCGGTACACGTGAATGTGCTCGTAGCATCATCATATGCATAGCTGTAAGATCTGGGACAAGCGGCCTTGAACATCTCGGAATAAACCGAAGGCTTACATGTCGCGGGTGTGGCATACGCGCCGCTGCAACAATACTCGGAACTCCCGAATGCCTCGCACGCGCTCTTGCAAGCGTCACCGTCCCCGACACGGAGCTCCGACGGGCATTGCCGGTTTAAATCAGTTGAACACCCGGTGGAAGCACAAAGACCCGACCCGCCGGTACCTTCCACGATCATGGGGATATTGTAGCCATCAACGAGGCTAACGTCGTAAAAATCTTGCCCTCCTGTCCCAAGAGTGAACTCGGCCAGAGTTACTGGCGGAGCAGCTCCGAGTCCGCTGCATTCCATCTGACCCGACCCGCAGTCGCCGGTCACGCAGGTTCCGGAACCGGATCCGTCGAATTTACAGCCCGTTCGACCCCAGAAACGACCCGACCAGCCCGTTGGGGCCTGAAAAGAACGAGAGGAGTCTTTCTGTAGCTCGAATCCGGTGCTGTCGAGTGCAGGATTGCCGGCATTTGCTAATATCCCGGGCCACACGGTGTAGCCACACCGGTTGACAAATGTGAAAGAAGCACCTAATACACCTGAAAACGAAAATCAAAAGGATCGGACTTTTAGTGTAAATATAAAAAACTAGTGACTCTGAGAGCGTTAAAGGGAGAGAAACCCAGAAAAAAAAAGGGATTTTGGTTTAACCTTTCGAGTTCACAGTTAAGACAATGAGGTAAAGGATAAGAGCTAAGGAGCTAATGTGGTGAAGATCCATGAGGGGTTTTTTTTTTGCAGCTACTTCTTGTAATTTCTTTTGGAAGTTTCAACTCGTTTCGTTAGCTTAGCTTAGCTAGAAATAGAAGGGTACAAGATTTGCAGAGAATAATGGTGGAGTAATGGGAGAAGAAAGGGCAATGGTGGGGGAGGATGGAGTAATTAATATACACACCGTAGTCCTCGAGGAGATGAGAGTCGTATGGAGTGTAGAAGAGAGTGAAAAAAGGGGGGTTGAAGTTATCTAAAAACCGACAAAAGTGTTGATGAGAATGACAGTGAGATTTATTCAGCCATTGCTACTGTATTTTGCTTTCTTTTTTAATATCCCCTGCTTCTCCCTTTTCCACCTTCGTAACCTTTGTTTTCCCCCCTTGATTTTTACTTAGAAATAGGGCAATACCTAGGGAATAATACCTAATTTTTTTTAATTGCACCTAAATAATATCTTTTATTAGAATGATATATTTTTTATAAATGTATATTTACGTGGAATTGTATTTTTAAAGACATTTTTTAAAACATATTTGGGTAAAGTAACCAAATAGTATTTAGATTATAGGTGTTGTTTTATTAAGTTTTTCGATTATTAAAGTTATAAAAGGATCCTTTAACTATAGTATATTGTTTTGTTGAATCTTTTGACTATTAAAATTTTAAAATAATCATATGATTATTCATATGTTCTAAATTTGTCATTCTCTGTTAAAAAATTAACTACAATTTAAGCTGATCATTAACTTGTTAACTGTGATATGATGAAATATGATCCTAAATATTAAACGACTATCACATCTCAATCCACATGTTAATATCCAGCTTAGATTGTCATCATTTTTTTTAATGAAAATGAACGAGTTTTGAATATATGAATATCCGAATGATCATATTGTTGTACATAGCTTTTCTTTGATCCTTGTTAGGGATACTTTCTGTATTGAACTTTACCTTGGATAATAAAAATTTTATTTATCCAATAAAAACCAACACCTTATAGTTGAGAGACCATTATATAACTTTTAATAGTCGGGAGACTTAATAAAGTAACGCACTATAGTCGGACGATCGTTTGTGTACTTTACCTAACATATTTTTACTAACATTATATTTTTTATGATATTTTTATAATGACGTTATTAAATATTATAATAAAAAGAAATAAAGAATAATAAGTTAAAGTTATATGAATTTTATTTAAAAAGAAATAATGTGTACTGTATAGATAGAAAATAAATATATAATTGAATATGAGAATAGACAATAACGACCTACGTGTACGAACCATGTCTTTGTTTATCAACATATTTCAGAGCTAAAACGCCAACCCTGATCGTTAATATAATCGTAAAAACCAAATGTGAGTAAATATATTAATAATAGAAATTTTTTATATGTGACATATATAAATAAAATTTTAAAGTGAATATCATTTATAAAATAAATAATTGATTTAATAAAATTTGAATTTCAGAATATATACGTATCGACCTTAGCATACATATAGATTTGCCACTGCTTAGAATCCTCATCTTCACTGTCTTACCTAGAATCGAAGAAGAAGAATAAAGGAATCGTGTTCTCTGGAAGAAGTTGTGTGGAACTTGTTTTTCAAATGTCTGGTATCTCATGGGTAAAACTTGGGACTAAATTGAACTTTAAGCCAAAAATAATATGAAAGGGATAGACTCTCGTGATGTGTCATCTTTTTATTTGCTTGTTTGATTCCACGTCACCTTAGGTTTACCGCTGATTTATGCGCCATGCTGGAATGGATGTGCCATCATAGAATTTGCATTGGATTCTTTGTTGTCATCGTCCATATTGAAAAGTTGGACCGATTGCCAGTCCACTTAAATCATATGGTTCGATTGATATGTTTAATAACATTTAAATAAAATATAAAAAATATTTATTCTATTCACCATTAGAATTAAGTATATTGAATATATTTAATTTTATATTATTATGTGTATTTTATTAATATTTTTTATGGGAATAAGAAGATCTTGTCAGTTACGAGTGGTTCATTTTTTCTTAGTTTAAACGGAGAATTACGATTAATTAAGCAATGGTCTTTGATTAGTGTTTGAAATAAGGAAAAATGGGTCATGAAGAAGGAGAAATGTAAAAGATGCAAGTCCCTTTCTTAGTTGTGATAAGCGATATTTATAAGTCTTTAGTGCATCTGTCAACTGATGATTATTATTGCTATTTGTAAATATGCATACTAGGCAAATTTGTTGTTGATACCTTGAATTTTATTTCGACAAATCATGTAAATCTGTCAAATGTCTAGTCTAAAAGTCTTATTTATATATTGTGATTGATTCAAAAGTTTATGCTCGATGAAATTGAGTTCTCTAGGGGTTTGATAATCAAAAGAATCAATATGAAATTTTTGACTAATGAAGAACTGATATTTTTCAAAAATCATTCTTTGGAAGTATAATAATAATAATACTAAAATTAAACTCAATCATTTAATTTAATTAAAATTTTAACAATTAATCACAAAATAATACTATAATTAATGCATGTTTTAAAAAACCTTCATAACAAAATCCATTAAATACTGAGAAAGCTAAAAATAATAGTCGGAAAGGGTAATCCAAATTAAAGAAGTGGGCAAACTGCCATTTGCCTTAAAAAGCGTATAAAAAAGTGAGATTTGTTTTTGGAACAAATCTCTGGTTAGCTTAGGATCCCCCGACAAATGCAATCTCCCCAAAGTCAATTATTTGGTTTAGCTATATTGAAGAATGATTACTGAATTTCTTAATCATAGTTTTAATATATAAAAAAGTAACACCAGTAAGTATCACTAGTTCAATGTTATCATAATTTGAGTACAATCAAATTATACTTTCACTATAAAATAAAAATGTATCGTATGGAATATCTAATATTCATCCCAACTTAAAACAACATACAGTTTCACCTTGAAAACAGACCAAGTCCCTCCCTCCAGCTTTGAAAATCACTCTGAAGAAACCTCTTTTTATCTATAATTATGACTTGTAGTAGTGCTTACATGGAAACAGGGAACTTTGTCTTCAGGGTGTCTGGTGTTTTATCAATAAATAAGCATCGAGCCCAGGGATTCTCTTTTACTGCACTACGATAGTAATTAGATATGGTTAATTATAATTAGTGTTTCCTTTCAGGACGATTTATTTTAACAATAAACGTTCATCGAGGAGACCGTAAATAAAGGGGGTTACATTTCAAAATGTAGACCCAATATTTTCAAAAACATCAACCAAAACCTGGAATGAAAAAAGTACAGTGTTTTCTTTTCAAATGTTGCCACTCTGTATAGTTGATTTTTTTCCTTCTTGTCATTGTAAAAATTGAAATTTTGGCCCTCAATTTGCTTTTCGAAAAGGACAACTTTTTCAGAGAATATGATATCTCGTTATAATCATACTATTTCCTGAATCTGGATGTGTTATGTGATTATTTGTGCGGTGCGCGGGATAAAATATTACTTCAACTGTCTATCACCGGAATAATAGAAATTGCTGGGATTTGTGTGTAATTATATAATCATATTTTAGCAAGCATCATCGGCTGAGCCACATCCATGGTTGGTTCTTCTCAAACCCATGAGTTTATATATTCAGTTTCAATGTATAAGTTTATACACCATTGTTAAAAGTTTCAAAGTTTGGCAATCAACTTTGGAAAATATTTTTTTAAAGTTTGGTAAATATTTCTTTAAAAAATGTTTTTCAAAGTTTGGTAAAATTTTGGTAGATATTTGTTGAAAATAGGAATGGGTAAATTCACTTTAATCATTGCACTTTAGGGTATTTTTAAAGATTAGTCCCTAAGTTTCTACTATAAATACCCTTACCCATTTAGCTTCAAAATCATCCCAAAACATTTCTTTCTTCCTATACTAGAGAGCTTTCTTGTGAGTAGTGAGTATTTTGTAAACACCTGGCTGAACTCCGTTATCAATTTTCAGGTATTATTTTTTCGTTTTTAATTCGCATTCTTACTAATCTGGTTATAGGGAAATTACTTGTACTCGGTTTATTTTCCTAACAACTGGTATCAGAGCTTTTGGTTGTGAATTTTGTCAAATTTTCTGTGAGGTTACTATTCATTACTATTCATGTGAATAGTGAATTTCGTGAATAGTGAAATTCAGTCGGCGATACGATTTTGTCGACGGTGGGTGTTCTAATACACGGTGATTCGCAAGAATTGTCAGAAACGATCCAAACGAAGCCAGATACGAGTGGGAGCGATGGCTGCAGACGAAGGGAATGTGAAAATTGAAAAGTTCGATGGTGCGGACTTTGCCTTTTGGAAGATGCAGATTGAAGATTTTTTGTACCAGAAAAATCTATATCAACCTCTCTCAGGAAAACAACCAGAGGGCATGAAGGATGAAGATTGGGCTCTTCTCGATAGACAAGCCCTCGGAGTTATCCGACTGACGTTATCCCGCAATGTTGCTTTTAACATAGCAAAGGAAAAGACCACGGCGGGTCTTATGGCGGCTCTCTCCAGTATGTATGAGAAGCCATCGGCCTCAAACAAACTTCATTTGATGAGGCGATTATTCAATTTGCGGATGGAGGAAGGGGCATCGGTGGCACAACACCTAAATGAACTCAACACAATCACAACCCAGTTGAGTTCAGTGGAAATTGAGTTTGATGATGAAGTTCGAGCTTTAATTCTCTTATCATCTCTACCAGACAGTTGGAATGCTACTGTTACAGCAGTCAGCAGTTCGTCGGGAAATAGCAAATTAAAATTCGACGATGTTCGGGATCTGGTATTTGAGTGAAGAAATTCGACGAAGAGAATCGGGTGAAGCATCAACCTCCTCAGCCTTGCACACGGAGTCTATAGGGAGAACTTCAGAAAGAAATTCAAATTATGGCAGATCAAAATCCAGAAGGGGCAAATCAAGAACAGGAAATAAAGATTTTACCTGTTATAATTGCGGCAAGAAGGGTCACTTCAAAAGAGATTGACGAGCACCGAAGAAAAATATCGGCGCACAGGAATCTGCCAACATGACGGAGGAGACAGGTGATGCCATGATTTTAAGCGTCAACAGTCCGATTGAATCATGGATCTTGGATTCAGGGGCATCTTTCCACTCCACCCCATGCCGAGAAATCATGGAGAACTATGTCAGTGGTGATTTTGGGAAGGTTCATCTA